TCATCTTGCCTCCTGGCCACAAGGGAATACTCTATCTCCTAGCCTCCCCTGCAGTTAGAGTTGGGTCAGCGTGATTGAGTTCTGACTATTGGGCATACACCAGTGTTGTAGATCACTTCCAGGCCTGCCTGTAAAACCCCTAAGCCATCATCCAACTATTCGCTTTCCTGATAATAGTAAAAGGCCATGTATTAAAGACAGCAGTGTCAATATGTGGGCAGATCCTGGATTTTCAAGTTACTCTTAAGAGTTGCCTAGGAGAGTTGTACAACTTGACTCGTGTATTATATGATCAAGAACCTTTATGGAGTTAAGACACTGATTTTTAGGCCAGGCATGGTGGCTCATACCTGTAATCCCAGCACTTTGGGAGGCCAAAGTGGATCACTTGAGGCTAGGAGTTTCAGACCAGCCTGGCCAACATGGCAAAACCCTCTCTATAAAAACTCTACACAAAAATTAGCTGGGCGTGGTGGCATGTGCCTGTGGTCCGAGCTACTAGGGAGGCTGAGGCAGAGAATCACTTGAATCCAGGAGGCGGAGGTTGCAGTGAGCCGAGATCACACCATTGCACTCCAGCCTGGGCAACAGAGCAAGACTATGTCTCCAAAAAAAAAAAAAAAAAAAAAGACACTGATTTTAAAAAAATTATTTCTTTGCAAGGCACAGCTCAGCTTATCTCAGTACCTTCCCAACTAGTCTCTGATTCTCGTTTGTTTCATTTGGATGCCCATAAGTGCAAAAGTAATCCTCTTAAAGCACAAATCGGATCACCATGCTCTTGTCTGTAACACTTCCAAGGCTTTGTGTTGTACTTAGAATAAAAATCCAAACTCCTTAAAAAAGCCTACAAGGCCCTGCATAATTGGGTTTCCGACTCTTTCCAACCTCACCTCAACCTGTTCTCTCTCCTTATTTACCATCTGGCCAACTTGTCTCCTTTCAGTCCTTTCTCCCATTAGGGCCCACGCATGTGCATGTTCTTCCCTCGGCTTCTAACATTCTGCCTCTTATTTTTGCTCTTCACATGGCCAACACAATCCCATCTTTTGGGGCTTGGCTTACAATCAAGCTTCTCTAACCCGTAACATAGGATGGCTTTGAATGTGGCCCAACACAAATTTGTAAACTTTCTTAAAACATTACGAGATTTTTCTGCAATTTTTTTTTTTTTTTTTTTTTTTGGCTCATCAGCTATCATTAGTGTTAGTGTATTTTATGTGTAGCCCAAGACAATTCTTCTTCCAATGTGGCCCAGGGAAGCCAAAAGATTGGGCACCCCTTGGCCTTACATGGTAGCTTTAGAAAGAGACCTTCCTTTACCACTCTATTTGATAGGAGGTTCCCCCCTGTTTTCAGCTTAACCTTTTTTCTTGTTTGCCTCACAAGTAGCATCTGTGCCCTCAGAAAAATGTAATTCAGATGTTATCAGAGTCAGAGGATCCTACAACTGCTCTATGTCCCCCAAAGCAAGAGGCAAATCTACTGCATTTTGACGTAATCTACATTTATATAGTCCCATTCCTAAACCCGGAAAGTATATTAAGAAGATTAATGAAGCTTGCTTAGCTTTGCATTTCCTCTCTATCCTATCCTCTGATATTAGCAATGCTGTAGCAGTGGGTGAACTGGTTGAGATACACATTTTAGTTTCAGTTTCACCAACAGTGTGAATATTTATGGATTTCATTAGTCTTCTCAACTTGCTAAGTGATGCTTAACATAATTTGAATACTCTAATAAAGATATTTGTGTTCTTATCAGGATCATGTGATCCTATTATTGTTACTATTGTTATTGAGATGGAGTCTCACTCTGTCACTCAGGCTGGAGTGCAGTGGCACAATTATGGCTCACTGCAGCCTTGATTCACTCAAGCAACCCTCCCATCTCAGCCTCCCAAGTAGCTGGGACTACAGGTGCATGCCACCACACCTGGCTAATTTTTTTGTTATTTGTTGTTGTTGTTTTGTTTTTTGTAGAAACAGGGTCTTACTGTGTTGCCCAGGCTGGTCTCAAACTCCTGGCTTCAAGTGATACTCCCGCCTCAATCTCCCAAAGGTGCTGAGATTACAAGCATGAACCACTGTGGTTGAAACACTCTGTCTCTTATAGTTGTTATAATATTCAGAATCTAACAAAAACAATATTTATAGGAATATATCTGCTTTAATCTTGTTTATAATTCTGATATCTTCACATTTATTTTAACAGACAGAAAACAGTATTTAATCATTTATAGGGTTAATTTTTCTTGTATTCTCTGTGTAGGAGACTGTTGGTAAAGACTCAATTAAATTTACCTAACATTTGTTGAAAATTTAGGTGCCAGGTGTAATATGGGGTTAAAACAATAAGACATAGTTGTTTCTCCAGGATTTAAAAGCTAGTTAGGAAAATAGAATCATACATAAATACTAAGTACATACAGATAAACTTGATGTAATTTCACAAAATAATATAAAACTTCTCAAAAGCAAACTTCAGCCTTTATTGTAAAGTGAGAGACACATAAAAGATTCCTGGTAGAAAACAAAATAGCTATTCTCTCTAGGTCCACACCTGATGTCAGAATGAACGGTAGCAGCTATTGGATGAGGTGTCGGCCATGTGCAACATGTTGAAGTAATAACATTCTATGGCAAGATATTCTAATTTTTAAAGATTTATAAAATATACACAAAGTGAAAGTGGCTCTGTAAAACTGCATCATTTAACACTTCGACTATAACAAAAAAATTGACTTTGGTCTTAGCTCAGAATAGACAAAGCTGGAAACATATTGCTATTTGACCTTTGATGTAGCTAGGGAAGCAGTCATACTAAACATGGATATGCTTTTTGCTTGTTGATGAAGGTTTATTGTTGTTTTTAACTTTACTGGTTGTCCCATGAAAAATCTAAAATTTTGAAAGAAAAGACCAGGTATGGTGGCTTCATGCTGATTATCTCAGCACTTTGGAAGACCAAGGCAGAAGGATTTGAGGCCAGGAGTTCGAGACCTGCTTGGGCAACATAAGGAGACCTCATCTCTGCTTTAAAAAAAAAACAAAAACAACAACAAAAAAAGCCAGGCATGGTGCACACTTGTAGATAAAGCTACTCAGGAGGCTAAAGTGGGAGGATCACTTGAGTCTTGGAGGCTGAAGCTGCAGTGAGCCGTGACTGCACCAACTGCACGCTAGCCTTGCTAACAAAGCGAGACCCTGTCTCAAAAAATGTTTTTAAATAAAGAAAATAAAATCTTGAAAGAATAGTAAGAAAATCAAATTCAGGAATGAATCTCAAACTGTAAAATTAATCACAGGGACAGCACTAGTTCACAAGACCATTCAGATTAAAAGTAGAGTTATTTTTCTCAAGATGAAGACTGAGCAGAAAAACAAGAGGCAGAAGCTGCAAAGCTCAGGCTTTTGAAACCTGATGTCATATTGATACAAGTCATTAGAACACACCCATCACTTACATCAACATCTTTTTTCAATTATCCTTCTCCTGTCCACCTGCCCTCTGTTCTCACTCACTGCTTATGAAAGATCAGAGCAGGAAAGAGCTGGATTATTTACAGAATCTGTGAAACAAAGTAATGTTATGCCTGTTCTCTTTCTTCCAAAAATGGAAAATTACCATACCATGCTTTGTTATTAAGTGACAGAAAAGCCCCTAGGAGAATGTCCAATTGAAAAACTTGAGAACAATAATTTGTTAGTTTAAAGTAATCATAGATCTAAGTTTCAAACTTTAGCTGGTAAATATGATAGTCTTCTTTAGACGTAGGTTTAAGAAGAGAATGTGATCGAAGTCTTTTACTGTCCTAAATTCCCCTATGCAAATTTTGTCAATAAAATATTATTAGCACTCAAGATGGGAAAGTTGGAACATTTTTCACCTCCTCTTGAATCTAGTCTTACAGGTATAATTTCATTGCTTTAAGTAATGTGAATGCTATACATTTCAGAAAATACATACAAAAGGCAAATATAAGAACACATACAAAAACAACTCACACATAGTTTATCTTCTCAATTTGTTAGGCAGTCCCTATTGTTTACAACACAAATTGGCATATGCGTGAGAAGACAAGCTCACCCATTTAAGGTCTCTAAGGACTCATGGCTGTATGTTGCCTCTTTGCTTTATATCCTGTTTGTATCTTATACAAAAGCAGCAATTTCACAGAGAAATGATTACTATATGCAAATACATTCACTGTGCTATAGTCTTAGTCTTTTGACTGCACAACACTGACAACACTTTAGAATTTAACTACCATTCTCATGCAGTCTATGTGTTGTCCTTTGTAAGAATGATATACTAATATACGTATAGTTTATCTATATTATGTATATATAATATAATTCTTATTACTCTATGTGTGGCTGCATTTATGTTTGCAGTGGTAGCAATTATTTGGTATTAAGCCCTGACCAAATTCTCCCTGAGAGCAACAGAATCTTCTGAAATACCACTGGTTGGGGTTAGGGATGCAATTTATAGTAGACCAAGTAGAGCCTTCTAAGGCTCATTAACTGATGCTCTAAGGAAATGATTTTCTGACCACAGACAAAATGGAGCCCATTTTCATTGACCGCTGTCCCACAGCATATTAACATACTGATATGCTGCCCTGAAGCCCTTGACAGATGCATTACCTAGTTGGACATTTCCTTCTGGTCAAAAAATTAGCTATAGAATTTACATAATTTCAACTATCAGCAGTTCTATATGCCAAAAGAATCATGCAGGAACAGTAAAATTTGTTACAAGATGAACAAACCTAAAACTCTAATGAAGTTAAGTCCATCCAGAGGGATGAACCATAACACACACACTGACACTCCCATCACAAGTTAATTTCACCATGTTTCTCAGGATGTATTAAAACAGTCTTATTCTAAGGACCTCCCCTACTCATTTATAACACCTTCAAAGCTACAATAAGTGAAAGCAGAGACTAACAGAGAAAATAACTAACCCACAGAACTCACAAAGATGGTTACCTGGTAGTCTGGTTTTGTAAAATAATCCAAAGAAGAGATATGGTCTAGAAAGATGCTGAATTCTGGAGGGAGATGTTTCAGCATGAGCCTGTGGTCATATCTCTCCTTAATAGAGCCTACTTGCTCCTGGGAAGTAAAGAGAAAAAGAGCTACAGTCAATTTCTCTTGGCGGTTAGGCATTAAGAGCCCCTCAGTAGCCGTCTCAAGGGTATATACTAGGGAATGAGATAGTGGGTAATTAAGTATAAAGCAAGAACTAAGCTCTTACTAACAGCTTAATGTACAATGTTTTAAAATGGAAAAAACTATTATGCAGAACCAAACAAGTAGCACAGAGTTCTGCATCAGTATATTGATAGTCCCCAAAAGAAATTATTTAATTTAGTTTTCTGAGACAGGGTCTTGCTCTGTTGCACAGGCTGAAGTGCAATGGCATAATCACAACTCACTGTAGCCTTGACCTTTGAGACTCAAGTGATTCTCCTGCCTCAGCTTCCCAAGTAGCTGGGACTACAGGCACATGCCACCATGCCCAGCTAATTTTTAAAAATTTTTTGTAAAGATGGGGGTCTCGCTATGTTATCCAGCCTGGTCTCGAATTTTTGGGCTCAAATGATCCTCTTGCCTCAGCCTCCCAAGGTGCTAGGATCATAGATGTGAGCCATTGCACCCATCTCAAAATAATTTATCTTAAATCTGATCTACTTTTCTTTTTCAACACATGTGTTTACAGTTTTCTAAATCAAACAATATAATGTGACAATCAAAAACTAAAAGCTTACTTGACTTACAAAAACAAAGGGGAGAACTAATAAAATTAAAAGCTAAGATGGAGGGCTATAAATTAATCAGAAGCAATTAGTGTCTATTCTCCATGTACACAGAGAAATCTCATAACATTAATTTGATCTTTAATGTCAGTTCAGAGAGAAAAATATATATACTGGGATATAGTAAAAGTGCTTATAGATTTTAAGTCTTATACATAAGTATATTTTCAACAAAAATGTTTATTCAGGAGAAATTTTTATTTCTTCCACCAAAATTGACATCTCCATTCCCAAAATTACCTTGTCCTTTATTTTTCTCCATGGCAGCTGACCAACCACAAACTCCACTAACATGTAGAATAAGGACCAAAGGTCATCATGTCTTCCCATTTCCTTCATAAACAAAACAAAATCCAGTCACATTACATTACTATTACTTGTGAGTACATTACATTGGTCAAGGCCTAACCATTTTGTTTCACCTTATTAGGTGAAAAATGTAAACTGATTTCCCCAAAAATTATATGGTAAATATATATATAAATTTACATAGCAATACAGCAATCTATATGGCAGAATATACAAATTGAAAAACCTTTTGAAACAAAGGACACCCCAAAACATGGAAATGCTGGAAGTAATATAACAGCTCATTAGTTAATGTGTTCATTTAGAAGAAAGAGAACTCTTAAAAGCTATTTTTTTTTAAAGGTGGAAATAAGGGAAGCAAGCTGATGCTGAAGTTTTGGGCATCTGTCATCAGCGTATCCATCAGGAAGGGGACAGGCATAAAGGCGTTGGGCCTACACAGGACAGGAGTTGTAACTGAGATACACCCCACCCCCACCATATAGCTAGGGCCCTAAAAGGGTTACATCCGTAGTGTAGTATTTGGTGTGTACATTATACTATAATAATTGTTTTCTGTAAAATTTAACTGCTATCAAAAGAAAAAAATGAGTTTTTAAAAAATTGCCCTGAGAATTTGTTACCATAGGCCTGTCCCTCATTTAGACTGGAGGGTTAAATATATACCTGTGTGGTCTGAAAAACCAAGGGTGATCATGCCCCGCAGGAATGACAGAAGCAAATTTGTCCTCTCAGGATAAATACATCCCTAAATTCAGACCTCATAGAAGTGCTATACAAAAAGCCTCACCAAATGTTCATTATTCAGATTTATAAAGTATATTAATAAGCTAATGTCAAAAGAAGCTACAAAAAGTAGAAAAAAGTATCCAAGGATTTCAGAAATGGAATTATAGGATATGAAGAATGTTTAAAATGTTAAAATGAAAAATGGAATCAGTCACCAGAAAAGAATCATATTCAATAAAAACAGACCAAAACCCAACCAGATTTGAAAAATGACTAAAAAGAACATCTAGAAATAAAAAGCACAATTATAGAAATTAAAAACTCAATGGACAGGTTTAAAAGCTGATCAAACACAGCAGAAAGAAATCAATTGGAAAACAGATCTGAAGAAATTATCTAGAATGCAGCACAGAGACACAAAGAATTAGAAAATCCAGTAGTGAACTTAAAAGGAAGTACAAAGGACAGAATAAGAAAACCTAAGAAAGTCTAATACTTCAATTTGGTGACTGGGCAAAAAGGGTATAAAGAGAAAGGGAAAAAGGGAATATGAGAATCTTCCAGAATCGAGGAAAGACATGAACATTTTGGTTAGGAAACACATCAAATCCAAACAGATAAATATTTAAAAATCCACACCTAGGCACATTTGAATGCAGGACTCCAAAGACAGAAGATACCAAAAGTATTCAAATAAAAAGGACAAATTGGCTAGGCATGGTGGCTCATGCCTGTAATCCCAGCACTTTTTTGGGAGGCCAAGACAGGTGAATTGCTTGAGCTCAGGAGTTCCAGACTAGCCTGGGCAACATGGCAAAGCTCCGTCTCTACAAAAACTACAAAAATTAGCCAGATGTGGCGCATACCTGTGGTCCCAGCTACGCAAGAGGCTGAGGTGGGAGGATTGCCGGAGCTCAGGAGGTGGAGGCTGCAGTGAGCCGAGATCATACCAGTATACTCCAGCCTGGGCAACAGAGCAAGACTCTCCCAAAAAATAAAAGATAAAATTTTAAAAAGGACAAATTAAGGCCAGACGCGGTGCCTCATGCCTGTAATCCTAGCACTCTGGGAGGCCGAAGCTGGTGGATTGCCTAAGCTCAGGAGTTCCAGACCAGTCTGGGCAACATGGTGAAACCCCGTCTCTATTAAAAAATACAAAAAATTAGCTGGGTGTGGTGGCATATGCCTGTAATCCCAGTTACTCAGGAGGCTGAGGCAGGAGAATTGCTAGAACCCAGAAGGCAGAGGTTGCAGTGAGCCAAGATCACGCCATTGCACTCCAGCCTGGGCAAGGGAGGGCGAGAGAGCAGGACTCTATCTTTTTTTTTAAAAAAAGTAACAACAATTAAATAAAGTAACAAAGATGTTCTCAACAGTGACCCAAGAAGCAGAAGAAAGTAATTTTTTCGAAGTATTGAGATAAATATTAACAAGATTAAAATGTAAAACAACAATAAGACAGTATGACAGAGTTCAAGTGTTTTTTTGTTTTGCTCGTTTTTTGAGACAAGAGTCTCGCTGTAGTCAGCCCGGGCTGGAGTGCAATGGGGCGCTATCGGCTCACTGCAACCTCTGCCTCCCAGGTTCCAGCAATTCTCCTGCCTCAGCCTCCAGAGTAGCTGAGATTACAGGCGCCTGCCCACCACACCCGGCTAATTTTTATATTTTTAGTAGAGATTGGGTTTCACCATGTTGGCCAGGCTCAAGTGTTTTTAAAAGTCCTTGTATTATTTAAGAATTATTTATGTTAAAACTTTAAGATTTGGCAAGGCATGGTGGCTCATGCATGTAATCCCAGCACTTTGGGGGACTGAGGCTAGAAGACTGCTTGAGGCCAGGAGTTTGAGACCAGCTTGGGCTACATAGCAAGACTGTCAATACAAACAATTAAAAAATTAGCCAGGTACAGTGGTGTGCACCTGTAGTCCTACCTACTGAGAAGGCTGAAGCGGGAAGACTGCTTGAGCCCAGGAGTTCAAGGTTATAGTAAGCTATGATCCTGCCACTACACTCCAGCCTGGGCAACAGAACAAGACCCCGTCTCTAAAAAGTAAAGTTTAAGGAACCAGAAAAAGAGAAATGGAGTGTATTATTTTTAGATATTATCAAATCAGGGATTCAGAGTATGGAAAAAAGAAGCATGTTAGAATTATCTGGGAAACCTTTTAAGATTAGACAAGCAACTCTGGAAGTTCCAAGAGCTGCACTCTTGCATCACCTCACAAATTAACAATCGTTGTGAACTACATTACTGAGTAAAAGCATTCTACCCCTCAGGTGTGCTGGGAGCAGGAAAGAGGGTTAAGAACCACTGCTATACACTATATAACCTCTACAAGGTTAGATGAGTAACAAATAAGCAAGTTATCAAAGTAACTGTTAAAGGACACTACACTGGAAAGGCTTTTAGAAGAAATTGCCGCTGTCTAAATTAAAACAATAAAAGTACATAATCTCTTTCTATTCGCTATTTTGAAAATGCTTATGTAGCTATTATAATCTCTGAAAATACATTTATCTTAAAAATAATTCTTTAATAAAATTAATTGGAAAACCTAGTATTTCTAAACTTTTATAAGAATCTATCAGGAAAAGAAGAGAAATTCTTTTCAAGGCAAAGTGAATGACTAGATATCATAAAATAAAGCAACACTGAATCAAACCAAATGAGTTTAAATGCTTGGCAGAGTGCTACACACTGAGAAAAATGGCTTTACTATTTTCAATTTATAATCACACCATAGGAAACCAAATTAACTGGAGCACAGCATTTAAGACCACAGTATACTCTTCCTATTATATGTTGGTCAAGTTCTCATTAAAGCAATTTTGGCTTATCAGAACAGGAACAAGGTAAAGAAAAGAATCAAGAAAAAACACTTTTCTCCCTATTTTATCAAGGAATCACTTGTTAAGCTTCTCAACTCTATGCAAAAAAAGTTAAAAGGATTGATAATCCATAAAAATGCCCACTTTTCCTACTCATAAAGTTCAGGATGAAGGGGAAAAAGTCAGCGCAGAACAAAGGGACCAAAGGAAGGGGGTGAGGGAGATATTTTTAAAATTTAACCCAAGAGGAAAGGGATAATTTACTAAAATGAACATTTTAAAATTGTCTGTACTTGAAATCTTCATGAAAACAAAAGGTTTGGTAGGGAGAGGGATATCACAGATTAGACACATATTACAGACAAAATGATGACTCCACATTTCATTAGGTATTGATAGTATTATATTTCCAAATAATTTCTTGAAATAGTACACAGGTGTTTCAATCTCTTCCAAATTCTCTCTCTACATATATATGTATTTTTTTTGAGACAGAGTCTTGCTCTGTTGCCCAGGCTGGACTGCAGTGGCGTGACCTTGGCTTACCACAACCTTCGCCTCCCGGGTTCAAGTGATTCTCTTGCCTCAGCCTCCCAATTAGCTGGGACTACAGGTGCACACCACCATGCCCAGCTAATTTTTGTATTTTTAGTAGAGACGGTGTTTCACTATGTTGGCCAGGCTGGTCTCGAACTCCTGACCTTGTGATCTGCCCACCTTGGCCTCCCAAACTTCTATATTAAATTTGTTAATACTTATATCTAATTAAGGACACAGATTCCTCATAGACATAAATACACTTAACTATTGTCTTTTCTGGCAAATTCAATTTTATTTTCCAAGCAGCTGCACATATCTATTATCCACGATACACTATACCGTGCATTAGTATTATCAATTCCATTACCATCAGTGCCACACAAGAATGAATTAGGACAAACACTTCAAGCAACTTTGTAGCTATTAAAGGGATCCTCAACTCTCAAGCATTTTTCATACTTTTGTTTTTATTAAGAAGTCAATCTCACTTTGGGAGGCCAAGGCAGGCGAATCATGAGGCCAGGAGTTTGAGACCAGCCTGGCCAATATGGTGAAACCCCGCCTTTACTAAAAATACAAAAAATTAGCTGGGCGTGGTGGTGGGCACCTGTAATTCCAGCTACTCAGGAGGCTGAGGCAGGAGAATCACTTGAACCTGGAAGGCAGAGGTTGCAGTGAGCTGAGATCACACCACTGACTCCAGCCTGGGGGACAGTGCAAGACTCTGTCTCAAAAAATAATAATAATAATATAAAATAATAATAATAATAAAATAAAAAAGAAGACAATCTGATTTAAGCTATTAGCATACTTATACAGATATGACTCCAGTTCAGATACCTACCCTGTTCCGATGTGCATTGATTGATGCATAACGAACTGTCCCTCGAAAGCCTGCCACAGCTCGAGGCTACAACAAAGCCATGCAAAGAATAATAAATGAGTTTCAAACAGCAATACACTCAGCACACTTGAACCCATGAAGTAAATGCAAGAAACATGTCCTTTATTGTCACAATAAAACACTATTTAATTTCTAACTTTTAACTATGAAATTACAAGAAACTAGAGAGATTATCTCTAAATCACATCTTTAAAAAAAAACACTGATAAAATTGTAATTTTCAGTTCCGTTTTTTCCTACCTACATTTTAAAATACAGGGGCATTTATGACATCTCTACAACTCTGTATATTAGAAAATATTAAATGCTTTCATATACCCATAATCATGATAAGCATCCTAGTACATACATTAATATTCAGGTTCTGGATACAAATAACTACATTTAGATAGTGAGGAATCACTAAGTAATCTGAGATACCAAGCTCTTCATACCTTGGCTATTTCATTCAAACTCAATTCAAAGGTAGTGGCAACTTGTACCCTACCTTCGTATGCAATTCATGTATTAAAAATTCAAGTTACTGGGTGCTTAGTATGTGCCACATACTAGAAATAACACCAACATGAAAAATATACGATCCTAGTCCTCAGAGAACTCAACTTAGAATAAAGTCCAGGCTTTTTACTTAGCCTATAAGACTTCATGATCTGGCATTTGTCTTCTTTCACAATGGATTTACCGTGGTTTCTTTTATGATCAATTTTAGTTTTAGCTCAAAACAGTGCACACGATTCTCTCCAGTTGGAATCCCAGCTCCTTGAATCTCTCCAATGGCTAGCTCTTCTACTCCATTTTAAGGCTTCTGCTCACATGTCACCTCCTCAGAGAAACTTCCCTTAATCATTCTAATCTAAAATACTACTCCCCCCATCTGTAGTGGCACTTTATTCTTTTACTCTGCTTTATTTCTTTTAACACCTTTACTACCCCCAAATCAATTTTATTTATATTCTTATTCTGTTTATTGCCCATTTGTTTAGATTTTAATTTTTTTTAAGAGATGAGGTCTCACTCTGTAGCCCAGGCTGTAGTGCAGTGGTGTAATCATAGTTCACAGCAGCCTCAAATTCCTGGGCTCAAGTGATCCTCCTGCCTCAGCCTCCCAAGTAGCTGGAACTACTGGAGTGTGCCACCACATAGGGTTAATCTATTTTAATTTGTTTACTGGCTGTCTTCTTTTAGTCCATGGAATATAAACTCTGTGTGGGCGAGGTCTTTGTCTTGCTCATTTTACAATTATAGATATAGACTCTGAGAGGTATGTAACTTGTCTAAGGACACAAAAATCAGTAAATAATAAAACCAGGCATTAACTAAGGTCTTTCAACATTGTCTCCATTCTACTGCTCCCCAAGAATCAAGTAAGTACCCTGAGGATTTGTGGGTGGCACTGTAGCTCAATATGAAAACTGACAAACTTGAAAATGATCATAGACAAACTTTTCATTAGTATAATTTTTGGTTTTTTTTTTTTCTTAAGTAACCTCAAATTTTTCTCAATTAGCATGTATTACTTTTGTAGTCAGAAAAGACAGTAAAAAATCCTGGCCAGGCGCATTGGCTCACACCTGTAATCTCAGCACTTTGGGAAGCTGAGGTGGGCAGATCACAAGGGCAAGAGATCGAGACCATCCTGACCAACATGGTGAAACCCCATCTCTACTAAAAATACAAAATCAGCTGGGCATGGTGGTGCATGCCTGTAATCCCAGCTACTCAAGAGGCTGAGGCAGGATAATCACTTGAACCCGGGAGGTGGAGGTTGCAGTGAGCCGAGATTGTGCTACTGCACTCCACTCTGGGCGACAGAGTGAGACTCTGTCTCAAAAAAAAAAAAAAAAAAAATTCCTTACCAGAATAATTTGGTCATATGTTACCGCATAGGATAAACAATCTATGTGTTCTTCCTCCATTTTCTCATTTTATAATCTATGTTTAATCAAGTTAGCTATTTCATTTCTTCCTTCATTAAATACTCTCTTTCCCTTTACTTTTGTTTGGTTTTTAAGACACCTATTTTAAAATATTCTCTATTTAATGGCAAGTCTCAGTAATTAAAAGTTCCTGCAATCTTTAAAAAAAAAATCCCCATTATTTTCTTAGCTGCCATTCATTGACAATCATAGTCAGTGGATCTCAATATTTTCCTAAGACGTCATGGTTAACAGGAATACCTAATATGCTCAATTTGGTTGATGGAACTAAGGTTGGAGAGTTTTCTTTTTAGAAGAAAAATGTCTAAGAGAATATATGAAAATCTACTATGAATCTTTTTCAGTTAATAACGTTTCAGAGGTTGTACTTTTATTCATTACCTGACATGAGCCTTCAGTTAACATAGAATTTTTTGTGTGTGTTATATAATTTTGCCCAATTATTTTCATTCCAGTAACTGTCAGAATGAAAACCTCCAGACTTATTATCACATTCTGCAGCCTAGTCCACAGCTGATTGGGCATCTGGACTTCTCCCTGATGGATTCTAGCCAAGACAAGCCCAGGAGACTCTTTCTACTTAAGAGTTTCCCTGGCCTGGCTCTGCCCTTACTTCTGCCATAGAAAGGCTGAAATAGAGATAAAGAGAAATCAGTTGTTTAGAGAAATCTTGAGATAAGTAGTCAAAGAAATAACACCAGTTTGCATATCTCATCTAATTCTAATAGAAAAAGAAATAATGTCAGATCAAGGAAATTCAATCACCTTATTTAATGTAGTAAAGACAACTCAAACCCAACTGGGGAAAAACAGTCACGTATGCAAATGATTCCAATTTAAAGCAGATTATAATGAACACCATTAGTGAAGCACAATGAAATATAAACACTTGGGAGTGGTAAGGATTAGTCCCATGTAGTAGGAGGGAGGAAGGACAAGTCTTAGGAATAGGCAGCACTTTGCTGGGTCTTGAAACAATCTCTTGAAACCTCCTCAATTGATGGCACTTTGCCAATATTTATCAAAATTGTAAATGCATATATTCACTTTGTCTCACAATTTCACTTCTGGAAATTTATCTCACAGATATACTTGTATGTGCAAAAATAGTGGATGTAGTCAGTCACTACCATCATTGTTTGTGATAGCAAAAGATTGAGTGCAACCTAAATGTCTGCCAATAGGAGACTCTGATTAAATAAATTATAGTACGTCCAAATAATGGAATACACTCTGAAGTTGCAAAAAAAAAAAAAAGAGGGGCCAGGCACGGTAGTTCATGGTTATAATTCCAGAACTTTGGGGAGTCTAAGGCAGGAGGATCACTTGAGGCCAGGAGTTTAAGACCAGCCCAGGCAACATAGTGAGACCCTGTCTCTGGAAAAAAAGAAAAAAAGAAAAAAAAAAGAATTAAAGAATTAGCTGGGCATGGTGGCATGCACCTATAGTCCCTGCTACCAGCTACTTGGGAGGCTGAGGTGGGAGAATCCCCCAGCTACTTAGGAGGATGCGGCAGGAGGACCTCTGAGTCATGGCTGTAGTGAGCTGTGATCATGCCACTCCACTCCAGCTTGGGTGACAGAGCAAGACCCTGTCTAAAAGAAAGAAAAAAAAAGAATGAGGAAGTTCTATATACCAACATGGAAAGATCGTCTAGATACACTGTCAAGTGAAAAAAAGAAAGGTATAGAATGTATATCATGCTACCTTTTTAACCAAAAGGTAAAAATAAGAATGTTCATTTGTATTTATTGTATGTGAATAAAGAAATTCTGGAAGAATATATTAAGAAACTAATAACAGTACAGCTACCTAAAGGTGAATGTAGGGAGCAGGGGGAAGAATCAGAGATAGTATAGGAAATGAGTAGATTTGGAATAGGCAGAGATGAAATGGAGATTTATTTCACTGTTTACTTTTTAATTTCTTTTCAAGTCAGGTTTAATTTACTTTACTTTGAATTACTGAGGTATCATTTACTTACAATAAAATTCATACTTTATGTATACACAGTTCTATGAGTTTTGACTGATATAAAGTCACATAACCACCACCACAACTAAGATATCAAATATTTCCATCACTCCAATAAGTTTCCTTAAGGCCCCTTTGAGTCAATCCCTCCCACCCCTAGTCTCTGACAACCAATGATTTCTGTCCCTTGTCAGCACTTGGTATTGTCTGGTTTTTGTTTTAACCATTCTAATTGGTAGGCAGTGGTATCTTGCCAGGCTTTTAATTTGCATTTCCCTAATAACTAATGATATTGACCATCTCTTAATATGCTTATTTGCCATTTGTATCTCTTCTTTGATAAAATGTCTATTCAAATATTTAGCCCACTTATACTGTGTTGCTTTCTTTTTATTGAGTTGTATGAGTTGTTCATAGATCCTGGATATAAAACCTTTATCAGATGTGTGTTCTGCAAATATTTTTCTCCATCTGTGACCTGTCTTTTCATTTGCTCGACAGTGTCTTTCAAAGAGCATAAGTGTTTAATTTTGATACATTTTTAGTTCTTTAACTTTTGCATCACATGAATATGTTACCTATTTGAAATTTATATTTAAAAATATTTTGAAAGAAAAAGAAAGTAAAAAGTGAAAGTATTTAACAATCTATGAGCATATTTTATTTGATACCTAGATATTCAAATGAAAACAAAAAAGAAAAAATAAATCGGGCCTTGAAGAGCTGATGGAATTACAACAGAAAAAATGAGATGCATTTTAAGTCAAAAAAACATGGTTAACAATGCAAAGAGGGAGGAAAGTACTGTTGGTGTTAAGAGAAACAAATCTGGTACGACTGTAGCTGACCGTGAGAGAAAAAAAACAGGAAAATAGGTTGAAGTCAGATTAAAGGAGGACTTAAATGTCAAATTAAGGTCTTCTTTAATTTGGTTTATAACGTGTAGGTAACTGGAATTCATAAAATATTTTTAGGCTGGGCGCGGTGGCTCACGCCTGTAATCCCAGCACTTTGGGAGGCCGAGACGGGTGGATCAGAAGGTCAGGAGAGCAAGACCATCCTGGCTCACACTGTGAAACTCCGTCTCTACTAAAA